AATGCTATTTTTAAAAAAAAAAAAACCACCATCTAGAAGCTTTCCCATGGGGTCTTAACACGTCCAATGGCTCAGAATAAAGGCGCATGTCAGGAAGCAGTATCAATATCATACACGAGACGCTTGAAAATAACAATTTGCCCATGCTTCCTTTAATGCACCGGTAGGACAGTCCCCTAATAATCAAGCTCAAAATGGAATACCACCATCTAGAAGATTTCCCATTGGATAAGGATACATGTCAATAGCTCGGAGTAAAGGCACAGACCAACAAAGGTCTCTGGAAGCTTAGTAGAAAGCTAAACTCATAAATCCCAATGGATAACATCAAATGTTTGTTTCAAGTGAAACTTTTTCAGAACTATAAATTACTAACCTCTGAATTTTGAACTTCGATAAAACAAAATTCTGAATCAAGAAATTGAAATAAAGGAAATTGTAGTAGAAAAAACTAGAAGAATATAAGTTACTGAGTAGAATAAGCGAGGCTGAAGCGAATAAGTGGTGGAATTTTTGTTTCTCACATTCCTCCAAAGAGGGTATTCATGTTGAGGCCTTATCTTAAAGCTTATAAGGCCTCTCTATCAGTGACCTGTTTACAATAGGTCATTTCGTTGATGAAACGAGCTAAGTAATTCTTCAAAGTTTCACCTGCTTGTTGTCTCATATTTTGGAGGCACTAAATATGGGCCTTCCATTCTTTGCTAGATATGTATTAGTCAAGAAGGCATTTTGAGATCAGGCAAGTTTCTGATACTCCTTATCGGTATTCTACAATACCATATTTCAGCCGCTTTACCTTTCATTGTAGGCGATGAACCTCTTAGACTCATGTAAGTTTTATAGTTGTTGAGGAGTTTTGCTGGATCACATTTTCCTTCATAATTAGGAATCTTTTAAGGTACAAAATGGCTAGGGATATGGGCATTCCTAAATTATTGGAAAAAATGGAAAATGTCATCATCATCTAGTTCGTAGGACCTGCATGGCCAATTCGAAATGGACAAAATGGCTTGATATTGATGTGTTTGAGATTGACTTGCTTTTCCTTAGATTTTCCTCATCATTTCTCTCGCACCCATTTCTTGGTAAGAGGCTTGCTATTGTCCTTGATCTTGCTTATGTTCATATGGCCTTGAAACATGAGGTTGTTGTTGCTGCCTATCTTTATACATTGATGGTCCACTTCTACGAAAATACTAGTTGGCTTTTTTAGGTTAACGCTTTTGCTCATATTCTAGAGGAAAGTTATCCTCCCCGTGAGCCGGTCGTTCGTGGGTCGACTAGATGTGTAATTTGTGGGTATATCCACCACCACTTTCTTCTAGCATGGCTAATATCCCTCATTTGCATATGAGAATGAGCCCTTTGGATGTGCACTTCATCTTTCTGTTGTTGGAAAGCATCTGGCTCAGGTATACTTTGAGGCACTTGATAACCTGCTTGCCCTTACATTTACATGAATAGTTGTTGCATGGTAGTATTTTATTGTGTTATGTTCCTTATGTTGGCAGTCATTTTCTCCACCTCTTTTACAGGACACGCAGTTGTCCCATCGTCTCGATGATGCTAGTGATAGGTTGGTGGTAGTTGACATTATCGTTGCTCAGGAACCATCATTGCTAGAAGTCGTAATGGGTAAACATCTATTTCTTCAAAGAAGGTTTTCTTGATTGGGTTCAGACCTCCAAATGCTCATTTTTTAAGGATTTAAAACCTCATAAAATACTTTAAGTAGTATTTCTTTGGAACGTCCACTTTTTTCTTTATTGAAGAATAAAACCTTTCTTTAAAGGGGAAGTTAATGTAATTTCCGATAGGTTTTTTCCACGGGATGCCCGTGGTTATAATGTGACTTCCCACAGACGGTGCCAATATGTTGAAATCATTTTTTGTAAGGACGAAGTGGCCAATAGATCACAATGCCTCTCACATCCACATAAGCATGCTCCTGCAAACTAGGACAAATTGTTAACTACATGTGGGCTACTCCAGTATTAGGGAGGCGGCCGCATTCACTAGGATGGTCAAGTCAGATGATGATATAAGTATTTGATGTGGACATTCTCTAGATGTGACCTATGAATGAAAAAAGGGTTCAGCTTTGGGAGAATATATTCGTAAATGTAGATAGCAAAGCAATAGTTTGAGAGTCTAAACTTGCATTATCTTTGAAATGGCACAGTGTGCGAGATTTCGCAGTAGAAGAGGATGATTAAAAATCGTTAGATGCAATGACGCGTGGTCTCATCTACATGGTAGAGGCATCTTATCATGGGCATCAATTAATCAAGTGTACTTAATGTTATGACCTTTTGCTGCCCTAAACTTTATAGAGCTTAGACTTGACATGTTGACTTGGTAGGGTGGTAGTTGCAGTGAGTTGTAACATTAATCATTCATTAAAGATTCTGTATGGAAGATCCTCTATAGAGCCCCACCGCCTTGCTTCGCCCATGAGGGTTCAACCTCTCCATCTGGGGTCGGCTTCAGCAAATGGGCTCGGCCACTCTATATGGGTTCTGCCTCCTCATGGGGTTCAGCCAAAACTGCTACTTGGACAGAACGATGTCGAGTGCGAGCCTAATTTAGCTTACTTATGTGGCTGCCATGGGGTCGTACTTGGAGCCTCACCGAAAGAGGCATACAAAATCAATTAATGATAACACTAATCAAATTTATACTAATTAACTATTTAAGCTAAATATTCTAATGAGCAAATTATGAAAGTATTTTATAAAATTATGTTGAATGCTTACTAAGCTCTAAAATACTTTTATTATTCCAATTTAATACAAATCAATATCATGATAATATGTATTCATCCTTGTTCATCAATTTTCCTAAATTATTTAAGAATCATTCGAGTAAAATTAAATATATCTCTCATGTAACATTTCTACATCTATGAAAGATGCGAACACAAAGCATGCAATAAAATTCGAGAACATCTATTAAATATGTAAGATATAGATGTATAACTCTAACCTCTATTAGACCTCTTAATAATTGTTATAACATGCCAAATTCCTTTTATTTCTCTCGGATGACAATAAAAATCAAATAATAATTCAATTAGTAGCTAATTAATTGAAAATTATTAAGCCCTATAACAATCATTCAAAAATAAACACATATTGGATGTCAAAATATTGAAATTATATAAAAATTCATAACAAGAATTCATAAATGTCTTAGTAAATAAAAGTACAACATAACATTACAGGGTCACAAGAAATTATAATTATTTTCTGAAACATCACCCGAATATTTTATGAATGAAGAAAAAAGAGGAAAAAACTTGAAGTGCTTGAATCTCTTAGGCCCCGTTCTCTTTGTCGTTTTCAAGCCGTTTTCTATTTTTAATTTTTCAAAATAGCGAAAACGCGTTCTCTATCTTATTTTCGAAAACGCGTTTTTGAAAATGGAAAAAAAAAAACAACTGAAAACAGAAAATGATTAAAACATCGTTTTGGAAAATTGTACAACAAAACAAGACAATTTCACAAAACACGGGAAACGAATTTCTCATTCCATTTCTCAACTCTCTCCCTCTCCCTTCCCCGACCCACAACCCAAAATCAATTTCCTCTCACAAACCCACAACCCAAAATCAACACAGATCCGGATGCCAAATCGATGGGTTGTCTACGGGATCTTCAAATCAAGGTTTTGAGCTGATTTTGCCGAATCGAAGGCTTCTCAACGGGCTGTTTGAATCTGAAAATCGCATCTTCTAATCAAGGTTTTGATTCTTTCCTTGTGATAATCTTTTGTTATTTCCTTGCTATTCCATATCATAGTCGTTGGGTCCGATTCGCCTCTGTTTTGTTATTTGTTTGGTGTAAAAATTGAGGCGGAATTGCAGGTTGAATTCACTAGGGGGAAGGGTAGATGGTGGTGGAGGTGGAATTGTAGGTTAAATCATTGTTCTCCCCTCTTGTGTTGTAACCTGCGTCTTCTTCATGGATTGTGGTAAAGGGTTTTTTTAATTCAACTTGATTTGTTGAAAACAAGAATCAGAATGCCTCCATCCTCCGTGTATGCATTTCTACACAAATATAAATCAGTATGCATTTCTCCATCCTCAGTATGCATTTCTCCAGCCTCCATCCTCCGTGTTTTGATTTTGGGAACCAGTTTTCAAAGTATATATTTATCTTATGAGCTAAAGATTGATTCTGTTGAATATTTATTTATCATTTATAATGTTGTGTGGATGTATTTGTCAAATATAACTAGAACAATATACTAGTAAATTTTCCTTGCTTGTGAATTGCTGGTTGCATAACAAAACTTAAAAAGAGGTTTGCATTTTCCTTGCAAGCATTATGAAGTATAAATCCTTGGGTCATTGGGCTTGTTAGTCTAGTGTCGGGTTAATTCATAGCTCATATTGTTGTTTCTACTCAGATTTGTATTAATACTTCATCTTTACAGATAAGGGAAGAGTGTGTCCATTTAGCGGGAAGTACTGAGAAAGATGTTAATATTTTTGAGCATTTTAACATGTTATCTTTGTGATCATTTAGCGGGAAGTGGTGCACTTCTCAGTTTTGCCCGTTCTTAAATTGGTATTGGTTTCCACTTCTCAGATATCTTCCAGCGGGCCATCCATGCCGGAAGTGGTGCAAATGGGGAAATTTTAAGGTGTATAAGTGTATTTTAAGTTCAGTGATATATTAGGCATGATATATTTCACTCTTATGTGTTAAATTGCTATAATATTCCTATATATATATAGTATTATTAAAGGGGACCCTTTCTTTATGAGATATAGACTGAGAGGCTAAGATCATCATGTAATCTTCCCTATCATAATGAAAACCTACAGCTGCAAGTGGACATAACTCTCACATTAAAGGCAAACTGCTATAAATCTCTGTGTTTACTTGTTTGTGTTTCTGATTTCTTTACACTTAATATTGCTCTAATAACTGGAATTAGGGCTTAATCCCTTGCAAGATGAAAAAGATCGAAACATGAGTAATATTACTTATTTCTTTGATCTAAACTTGTTTGTTAATGGATTTTCTTTCAGCTTATATCAAACGATAAATTCAAAAGTGTTGAGCATAGAGTAGTGGCAAATTGCGAAGGGCCGAGAGTATCAGTGGCATGCTTTTTTAGCACTTCTGTAGCACCATCTACCAAACTGTATGGACCAATTAAGGAGTTGCTATCAGAGGATAATCCTCCAAAATACAGAGAAACAACTGTGCAGGAAGTTTTTCCTACTCGTATTCAAAGGGTCTTGACGGGACTTCCCCGTTGCTGCATTTCAGGATCTAAATTTGGCTTTTGGAATAGCATGAATGGATGATGATACACTTTACTGCTTTGAAATATAACAAGCATAGCAGGAAAAAATATATTGTACTAATGACAGTGAGTTATATAATCTTTTCTTGTGCTCGGATCCTCTTTTTTAGAGCTTTTGGTTTGTGTGACTTTCGGTCGAGAAGAACTATTGGCAAACTGACTTCTGGTTTAAGTTGACTTAATCCGTTGTTAACTAGTCATTGGACTTGATTAAGCCGACTGTTTGACTTAGTCGACCCACTTCACTCTTTACTTGAATGACTAGATCCAATATATGTAATATTGACAGCACAATGTCGTCTTCACCTTTTTAAGAGATTAGGTTAGACGTGTGCTCCAGTTTTGCAAGATGAGTGTTAGAAGAGGTGCTAGGTTATGTAAGATTCTGAGGGAAACTGTGCCAATTATGGATTCAGGGTAAATCTTTTTCCACAATAGAAGCAGATTTAAACCAATCTTTACATATCAGAATCTGTGCAAGTTTTCTTATGTTTGTTTTCTTAATTGGGGCAAGTAAGGGCAGCAGGTGGTCCTAGTAGGCGTAATCGAATAGACTTGTGCGCGAAATTAGGGGCTTTGAGGTTCATCAAATACTTGTTGGTTTAGAGATACTTTTAGTCATAAGTTTAAGTAATGACAGCCCATAATACTATAAAAGTTTATACCTATTACGAGTGAATTTCACAATCTGTAAGGCATAAAATTCAATATATCACAGAAGACGGAGACGGGTAAGGTTCATTTACAATGTTTCTTTAAGCAGCAATACTGAGAAACCTGAAACCACTCATTAGGTGTGATCATTGGAGCTGGTCTCTTGCATAAAATCCCATTTTCCATGCACGTATAAAGCATATTGAGATTGACGTTCTGTTTATTTTTGCAATAAAATTATTTGAGATGATCTTGATGTTCATCAAGTAACTTCTTGATCAAACTGCCGACTATCTGACCACGGCCATCACTTGATCTTGATTTCAGTTTTTTGGGACAAGCTAAACATAGTTCAGTCGCCTTTTCATTTATGGAGATGTGAGAAAACCATCTTAAGCTTCAGGAGTTTCTGTCATTTTACTTTTTGCACTGATAATGTGATGCTGTGTAACCATTTTGCACTTTGTTGGTTTGCTTACTCTTCTCAATTTTTTGGCTGATATATGTGCTTTGTATCTATTGGTTAGTACTTTTTCAATTCAATACAAAAAGGAACTAAACCAGCATTCTGCACACTGTATTACAAATTTACAATCAGTGGCCGGTTACAATCTTAATAATTTTGGAATTGGCTGCATGAATCCTTTCTGTCACTCTATTTGGTTCATTGCTAGATCTTCTAGGAGATCTAAAAAATAGATAATTAGCAACTACAGCATACCAGTTAGTTTTGATTCACACCTTTTTGACTTGTTTTATTGAGTTCGCATCACTCTTATGAACGAGAGCCTCTATAGGTTTATGTAGAACATATTTCAACTACCTAAATCATTATTTACTAAAATTATTCTCAATCAAAGCGACCTCCTCTTGTTGACCTGAATGAAAAATTGACATAATATATGGTAATTACTAGCTTATGATTCAAAGCCAAGGGTATAGAACACAGGGAAAGTAGTATAATGACAAGGTGCTTACTCTGCTAGCTCTTTCATATCAGCAATTTTATCAACAATGGAGTTAATGGCTTTGGTTTTGGAATTCATCTTCCGGTGCCACAATGCCTGGGTACAATTAAGATGTGCTATGTACACTTTACACTTTGAGTCGGTTTTGAAATGATTATTTAGAATGACGGATGTTATCATTGTATCAAAGCAGGAATACTGGGATGGGTCGTGTCCCATGCTTCCTTTGGCATTTTTTGTCCTTATATACACTAATAATTATTCTTCGATTATTGTCTTTACAACAATATAATTTTACCTACTTTAATCTTCCATTTCTTCAAAGTCACACGTCTTTTGACGGTGTCACGTCGCTACATGAAGACTGCGTTACACAAGTCTTGTCCTTGGAGATATGACTCCATGCATGTCTATGATTAAGACTTCAACCCAATGAATAGGGATCAATTGACATTCCAAGGCTTCGATAGATTGCTTAGCCAAGAGAACTCGAAAAAAACTTATATACTATGACAATTGAACACTAATACCTCCCACTTATTTTATTTTAAGACAGCACTCCTCTCACACCAATTGACTAGACCCACTGAACTTCTATGCATCTACCACTTACTGCCTCTTTCTCGTACCTCTCTCTTTTACAAACCACTCATACAAGACAGTTGAACCTATATACACACACACACACATAACACAGTGCAAAGTCGGTGGAACTGGCTTCACAAATTCTAGATTAATCCTACGATGGCGGGGGACTCAAATTGCATAGAATTCACCAGATCTTGTACTTTGTCGGCTAATGAGGGTTTGCACAAATCCTAGAAAATTCTGGATTTTTTTTGCTTCTTCTTAAGTCGGTGATGATTCCTTCAGATCATGCTTTTATGTGCGCATTAGTTGAGATAAAAAATCGTAATGGATATTCACGTCAAGTTGTCAACTACGTGAACTTGCTTCCGATAAATAATTTACAACACAAGAACTGGTTAGTGAACTTGACCAGTCTGGGAATGATTAGCAGATCTCACTCTCGGACAAGACGGTATTTATTTGGAAGTGAACTGAAGACATTCTCTCTTTATTGTGTTTGTGTAATTTATAAATAGTAACTTGGCAAAAGAGAAATCCTTTTCCCTTTCGTTTACGTACCTGAACTGAGAACCAAAGGTATTTTCGAAAATGGAGATGAGTAAATGTGGCAATTGAGATGTTCCATCCACTCCTCAAGAGTATGTAACATGCTCTTGGGTCTTGATACCCAATAAATGTCGGGAGACGATGTTAAACCGATGTTGGATAAATTGAAATATTGACACCTTAATGGAATGACCCAAACCTAGAACAATTTGGGTTATTGGAGGCAACCTAATTTCGTTAAAGCTACTAGTGGCCCATTTCCCTACTTTTTGGATGGCATATAAGTGTTGGCCCGACTTGACATTTTTCTCTCTATACCTACCCTATATATTGATAGAAAAACAGAAAAGAGATTACAGATTCAAATCCTTTTCTCATATAAACCCTAAATAATGCTCCATGTTGAATCTGAGAAAATAACGAAATAGTGGAAGTATAAACATACTTTGATCCATATTGTTTGATTATTGGTTTGAATGAGTTATGATTTTCTAATTGATTGATGATCTTCTCTTCAATTTCACTCTCTGTTTATAGGGATGCAGAGAATCTGAAGAATACCAACAAATGAGGACCATAACTATATAAAATAATAGTATGAATGAAGAAAAAAGAGGAAAAATCTTGAAGTGCTTGAATCTCTTAAATTTTTTTTTTAATAATCTTCAATTGCACCTTCCTCTTCTTTGTCCAAAAATCAAGGTTGGATCTTCAATTAAATGAGTTCTTATATCTTGCCTCTTGATTTTTTCCCCAAAAGAATGATGAATTGCATCTCTTTGATTGCAAGATTTGGTGTATTATATGATCTGAGAGGTAATTACAATGTTTTTTAGAGGTTATCTATTCATATGGCAATATTTAGATCTTAATTCGTGCCCAAAAATGCTAAAATGTGGAGTTCGAGTAAAATCGGATGCTAGATCGCTTATTTTCAAATTTCAGAAATTGATTTACGATCGTAGCATAGTTATGGTTACGATCGTATAATGTAGTTAAGTTTGGACTGCTGCTAAAATTTTCGTATTTGCGATCGCATTCCCAAGTACGCCGTGTAATCCAACGGTCACTGAACTACCAATTTGTTTAATTAGGTCTCTAGATTTAATCTTTTATTCTATTGCATCATTTTTTTCTTTACAATATTGGTCCTTAACCTTTAAATCATTATAAATTGGTCTTCAACATTTTTCAATCATTGATAATCGATACAACGCAAATTCCAAAAGTTTGCAATTAAGTCCCTAAACTTTTCAAATGTTGGATTTAACTCCCGAAACTTATGAATTTCATCTGATTGCTCAATTACCACTTCCAACAAATCAATTTCAACTTAGTTAGCTTCCGATCAACTCCAATCAAGCTTCAATTTCACCTATTTTACTTCAATTTCATCCAAGTACATCCAAATTTGGGGTTTTCCTACAATAATCGATATTTAAGCAAATTAAGTAGTGATCAATTTAAATAAATACCTAAGTATTTACTTCTGATGGCCCAAATAGGTATAGAAATTACACTCATCACTTACCAAAATTATGAAATGGATTTGGGGCATAATCTAGTATAACATATTGAGCATCTTGAAGGAATGTGTCTAGATCAGGTGCATCTGGGGCTTCATATTGGTGAAACGAAATAATAAATCTTCTTTCTAGTTGTTGGAAATGTATTGCAATTGAGATTTTGGTTAAGATATTGTATAATAAAACCTTTAAAAAAAAAAAAATCACCACCGTTGTCTGGTATGTTTTTTAGGCTCACCAAGAAAGGACAGAGTATGTTATGATTCCCCTACCATAAGATAAATGAAATATAAATGAATACATTGGAGACAGGTATAAACCTAACCTTAAGTCAAAGTCATGAAAACTAAAAGTAGTAAATGAGAAGGTACTACCTTCTATACATATTTGGACTAAACAATATAGCACAAGGATCTCTAAACCTAGGAAGACCATAATTGTCATTTGTGTAATGGCAAGTATTCATCAGGGCTCATCGAGAGGACCATACTCTTGAGACTAGCATTAGTCCTAGTTTAGCTAATTACCTATCTCGAGCATTGAATTAATCTACTATATCTCTATTTGGATTAATAACACAATTGATCACTTCAATTTTTGTGAGAATAGCTTAAAGATCAACCTAGAGTGTTTGCTACCGTGTCTAAAATAGGAAATGGGTAATACGTTAAATTGCTTTTCACAAAATTAAATACGCAATGATTACTTGATATCAT